GAAAAAATAAATGTAAATCCCAATTCAGCATTTCCTACACAAATGCGAGGAGCCTACGAACTAACCTTTCAGAAGTTGTACACCATGTGCACGAGATCAATACAAACCCTATGTCAATGTCAGAAACCAGTCCTAACAATCCTGGGCTATCACCTCTATTAATAAATACAGGGTCGACGCTAGGGCCCCACCACCCCGACAAACTTGATACGAGCCACTCTCCCTACTACATATCGATTTCAGGGTTTCTCAACCTGGGGGTCACAAACCCTCGAGAAATAATTGGGTTGGGGGAAGGGTAGCGCTTTTTAAATTACCAAAAATCCGGAAATTATCCAATTTTAATGAATTCAGTACATATTCATTAATTATTTACTTTTATAATGAATATTTTTTTTATTTTTAAAATATCTGAGAAAATTTTATTCTTTTTATAATCATCACCAATATTTTCATGATTAAATTTTAGTTGAAAAAAATGTTTAAGTCGCAATTTTTTACACCTTCATAAATATTTACCGCCGATACGTCTCCACTGAAAAAAAAAATTTTGACAAAGATTCCAACACAGCACAAACGTCTTAAAATCGTCTTAAATTTATTTTAAAAACAGTATTTCAACTTTAGGGAAAATTTTTCATGTATTGAAATCTTTAAACATTTTTTTTTATTTTTTAAGCAGTCATTTTTTTTTCAGTTTTATCTTTATAGAATTATAATAAAATAGGGACCAACAATTTGATTTTAATTACTAACCATGGATTTCAGATTAGTATTACTATTAGTAAAAAAAAAAAAAGTGCTTCTCCTTAGTGGATGATCTCGAAATAAAAAATGATTTTACTGAGGTATATTACCCTTTTAAATAATTTAAAAGAATTGTTCAGAAAGAAAATTTTACAGTTGAGAGGTTCGGGGTAGTAAAGACCGACCCTGTTGATTATCATAGTTGATGATTAACAATATAACTTAGGTATAAAAAAGTAAAAAGTACAAAAAGCATAAAAAAACTAGCTCTTTTGGGGCTACAACCTCGTCGGGGGTCCCTGTGTAGTACGCACCGCACTGGCCATGCAGATACACGGCGTATATTATTAGTTGATGACTGAAAATACAACGTCAGTTTAAAAAATATTTTTTAAAAATGGCGAATGGCAATAAAAAAGTGCTGAAAAAAAAATGACAGAAGCCACAACGAGGCCAAAAAACGTGCTCAGTTTTAAATATATGATGGACTCGACAACCTCATTCAGTTTTTAATTTTTGTATCGTATGAGATACTTCAGTCCCGCTTGTGACTTGCATACAAGTCCATATATTGTACAACGGCGAGAATCTCGGGATACAGCCACAGGAATATTTGCAGAAACTTTTCGACGTTGTCTTTCGTCTCTTAGCGGGTCAATACGACCGAGTTCGAAATTTCTGATATTAACCAGACACAAATATCTCCAGTTATTTCTATCCAGGACAACTCGCTCGAAGTTAGTATGAGGCACGTTGACAGCTGAGAGGTTACTCTTTCGTTTGTATTTATAACTAAGCGACGGTCGTAAACAAAAAATCTAAAGTATTGGTAAAACCAGAACAGTCACCTATCATGATGGATGGGCATTCTCTCTCGAAGGCTTCTTTTCTTGAACATCTATTGGGACTCAAATTGTCCCCAGACCTCAATAGGAACTTATATATCCGATCTATGGCTAAAGATGCTGGGGAAATGTTTGGTCCATTGTAATGCTCCAGTAAGTATTTGCATCCCCTCACTGCTTTTCTCGATCTTTACAAGAGCCAGATCAGACCAAAAATGGTGAATTGCTGCCATATCTGGACTGAAGCTGCACAGTCTTTTTTGCTTGTCTTGATAGAGTTCAAAAGCATCTACGCGGCTTTGTGCGTGATGAATTAATTTCCGCCTTATAACCCCCCCCATTCCCACAGAAGAAAAAAAAACGTCGTGTGCCTCTCGCTGCTCTGTCAGTATTTCAATGGCATGCCCTCTGACACGTTATATTCTTTAGTCCCACCACCCGTGACATTTACAATCAGGGCCCACGTACACGAATGGGAATCATTTAGATCACCTTCATATTCAAATATGAAGAAGTAAGTCCCTTTCGGAAAGCTTCTACCCAAGCTGATTTTGGGGATCCCCAACAGGATCTTTTCCCAAATATTACAATGTTGACCACTTCAAGTTTAGTCTTAACCGTTACCTTCTCTGCATGACCACATGAACTTTACTGTTTGCCTTTTCTTACGTTCATACAACACCATCTACCTTGAGTGGCTCTTGGGTCTTGTATTGGGTGAACATGAGTATAAAAATATCAGATCGACAACAAGAATAAGTATTCCTCCGATCAGTAAACGACAGGAAGCTGTGGAGACTTATGATCAATTCATAAGTCTCCTGGCACATAAAGAGCTATCATGTTGATTTTTCGTTGATAATTTTCTTCCATGATGTTCTTCCTATCGTCACACTAATCATCAGTTCATGAAAATGGCTGTCTTGATACCAGACGGTTTTCAGTGCCATACCTTTGCCAAGGAATCAGAACGAATTGAACCAGTAATTGATTACCCTGATCGCTTTCAGCAGTTCAGTGCAGTTTGACGAGTTTAGCATCTGATATTTTGTCGCGAAAAGAAACCGTGTTTATTTTAATACCGTCGTCATTAAATGTCGCGAGTTGAACTCTGCGGAAAGAACTCGAGGCTTTTAAACGTCTGCCTTTTTCATTTTTATAGATTTTTGTTTGTTTGTTTTTTTCTACATTTTCTATTTTTAAATGTGTTTTTTATTAATTTTCTATTTTTACATGTATTTTTCTTCGACAAAATATTGCTTTATTTATTGGTTCGTCTGACATTTGCTGACCTTATTAATCGAGCATTCTAGACGTTTATTATTAAAATTAAGATCGTGTGAAGATGTTTTCTTTCATGTCTCGCTTTCATTTTCCGCTCTTTTTCTATATTTCTCCTTCGTTCTTTCTTGTCCTCTTTCTTTTTTTCTTCTATCGCTATCTCCTTCATTCTTTCTTTTCCCTCTCTCCTTTTCTCCTATCTTCCTTTTCTAATTCTACCTCCTTCACACTTTCCTTTTCTTTCTTTACACTTTGTTATCCTCCTTAACTCACTCTATCTCTTTCTTCCGTACTCACTTTCTACCGTAGTCACTTTCCCTATATTTCTTTACGCTTTACTCTCTCTCTCCCTCTCTCTCTCTCTCTCTCCCTCAGTCTTCCCCCATCTCTCTCTCTCTCTCTCCCTCAGTCTTCCCCTATCTCTCTCTCTCTCTCTCTCTCTCTCTCTTTCCATCTACTTCTCCCTCGGACTCTCTCTCACTCTTTTTTCACATCTGTTTTTTTTTCTTTTTTTCTCTCTTTTTCTCACTCTCACTCACAATCGTCTGCTGTCTCTCTCTTTCTCCCAACTCTTTTTTAACCACCCTCAGTCTTCCCCCATATCTCTCTCTCTCTCTTTCTCTCTCTCTCTCTCCATCTACTTCTCCCTCGGACTCTCTCTCACTCTTTTTTCACATCTGTTTTTTTCTCTCTTTTTTCTTTTTTTCTCTCTTTTTCTCACTCTCACTCACAATCGTCTGCTGTCTCTCTCTTTCCCCCAACTCTCTTTTACCCACCCTCAGTCTTCCCCCATCTCTCTCTCTCTCTCTCTCTCTCTCTCTCTCTCTCTCTCGTGCAGAACTTACAAATACATCTCAATATATCTCTATATATCTCCACCTGCAGCATATTCAGAAGTAACCTGAGCACACGCACAAGTGTTTAATAATCTTATACAAAAACACTTTTTCTATCGGTATCACCCCAAGCAAGGCATTAAAGCCACTAAGACACAAGGGGTTAAAGGATGTGAATGAACTACAAACAGAAACATTAATAACGAGCGGGAAAAGAAAGAATAATCAGGAGGACAGTAGATAACGATTGACATTGCATTTAATTTTTTGCAGATTAAAGTTGGTTGGAAAGCATAGTCGGAAGGGAGTTCCACAAGCGAGAAGTGTGAGAAAAGAAACTGTTATCATAGAACTTACGGCTACATCTAGTCAGTCTCTGCGGTGATTGTTTACATCGGGCTACATGACATAAAGGGGTCTGCGACACCCGAAATTTACCATTGCTAACACTACATGTCACATAACCTCCAGTGTCGAATTAACGACTGTTTCCGTTGACAGGGTTAACAAGGGTACCCTGGCAAGTTTTCTGATCTAATATCCCATGTAAGGTAAAGAACGCTGAGCTAACATGTCGGATATGTGTCTGATACCGCCTCAACTTAATGTGCATGTGATTCAAGCAAATGTAACTTGCCTGTTCAGGTATATACTTCTAACCAGAGGCATTTGTTTACAATCTTTAACGATTCGTGGTCACAAAACTGCCGAGGTTCGATTCTTGTACCTTTCACCGCTTACAGTTGGTAGACAAGTGACAATGTATTGTGTTTTGGGGAAAAAGTTCGTAGCATTTGAACTGAACACTGAAGTTATTGCTCTCCCGTTTCCACTGACAGCAAAACACACTCCCCAACCTAGGGATTGAACTTATACACAGTGACTTCATCCCTAAAATCTAGTAAATAAAAATTTAACTAAAAGATATCCCTAGACATGAGCAGTGGAACGATAAATCTGGCCCCGTAGATTTAATAAAGTGCTCAGTTCAGAATTTCCTGTAGGTTACCGAGATCGATATACACATACATATAGGAAGGCCGGAGGGCACAACGGCCGAAACTTTGTGATAACAACAACAAGGATGAAGACAATAGTCCGAATATAAATAGTGTCAATAATGATAACTCCTCATCTCCAAAATTCTAGCAGAAAAGATAGATAGATAGATAGATAGATAGATAAGATAAGATAAGATAAGATGAGATGAGACAGTTGAATTTTTCCTACTGGTATTTCAGTCTGACTTATATGTATTTAGTAATAATGCACTAAGTTGGACGATTCCTTA